GTACAAAGGCTGCCTTGGGTCTTTGAGTTCCTATGGTAAGCGACTGGTGAGCCTAGAGCTGGAGCCACGCCCTCTGTCCCTCCCTGCTGGGGTAGGGGCAGCCATTCCTGGCTCTGCAACCTTGTCCTTCAGAAAAGGGCACAATCACAGGCCAGGAATCCTGCTGTGCCCTGCAGACCCAGTCCTGGCATGTTTTAGGTCCACGGTACAGCCGTGAGGCAGAGACTGAATCCTATGGGGTAGAGGAAGCAGACTGGACTGGAGTCCTTCCAAAGGGGACAAGCTTGCCCTGAAGAGAGAGACCTGGATGCAACCCGCTGGATGCTTTCAGGCAGCCAGACATGGTGGGGAGGAAATGTGAGCAGGCGGAGTGGGAGTCTCTTCCTTTATGAATCACCCTGGTATCCTTCTGTATGGAGGGGTCTGCAGCATTTCACTATTATTATAGGGCTTAAGTGACGTAAAGGAAGGGGTGGGGTGGGGCTAGGCAAGAGAAGAAATGAGAAGGCCTCCCATAACCCAGAGCTGAGATTACTGCTTTTCCTTTTCCTGCAAAAAAATTCCAGAAAATCCTGATATGGAAAAACCATCCTTTGCTAGGAAAAAAAAACTGGCTACTTACCAGGAGCAGAAAGCGGAAAGTTTCCATTTTGGTGGAAGGTGAACGTTATGGTAGAAGTGAAACTGAAAAGTAAAGACGTGTAAGGCCTAGTTCTTTGAACACACCATTATCCTTTGTTCCCCACCTCTGATCCCATACTACAGATGAAATGTTTGTAATTATGAACTTGAGCTTTTCGAAAATCTTAGAAAATTAGGAGTCAATGGGACCTTGGGAGTCCCCGGTTCAATGCTCTCTGTGTGCTATTTGGTCATACCCTTCCCGAGTAGTCCTCTCTGTTAGTCCTACACTTTCACAAGGAATAGAGCAAGGGATGCCCCAGGGGGTGTCCACTCAAAATGGTTCGGGTCAGAACTTTCCTATATGGGGCTAAGGTCCTGTAAGCGTCCAAATAGTAAAAGGTCTGGGAATCTGAACTATCCTAACTGGGTACTTGAAGCAGGATTGGGTAGGAAGGAGCTTGGCCTGCTGGCAAGGGGGAGAGCAGGTTACAGACCATAGCAGCAGCTGACAACAAGGGTCTCAGGGACGACTGTGGGTTTTCCCAGCAGGTAAAGAGGGTAGAACTCAAGGGATCTGGGATGGACAGAGGTTCATGAGCAGCAATGGAGTCCAGGAGAGGACACATGGCAGGTTATGTCAAGAAGAACTCAGGGTCAGGGACCACGGCAAAAGGTAAGTCACAACTGAGGAAAAGACACAGGGGTCCCGGTGCTTAGGAGAGTGGTGAGAAGTACCTGTATTGAGTCCCAGGGCAGGTGGCTGGCTCTGCTTGAACACCTTGTACTCAGTCAGAAGTGGCGCTAGAAACCAGAGGAGGCACGGAACCTCCATGGAAGGAGGAGCAGGACGGGAAGTATGGGAGCCAGACTTAGGACAGGCAGATCCAGGGTCAGGGATGAGGATTGGCAGGAAGAAGGAGGCAGCTTTAGTAGGGCCAGTTATTGGCAGGTGTCACACAAAGACAGTGGCCTTGACAAAGAACCTCTTATTCAGGGCAGTTTGGATGTATTTGGTCAGCCCACTCCTAGATAAAACCTGTTTAGGAGTCCAGGAGTAGGAGGAGCAGGTTGACATCAGCTAAGGAAGGGAAGGATGAGCCTCCTCATCTAGGAGCCTGCCGTACACTGAAGGTCAGCCTGTGTATCTCTTAGGCCAGGGTCTTCAGGTTAGAGTAGCCCAACTATCTTTGGCATGCACATCTCCATCCTCCAGGGCCTGGGCTGGACGAGAGCTCTGGGCACTGGGGTTCCTGGCAGCATCTAACACAGCATTCTGCACTTGTCAACACTCAGTGGTTGACCACTGACCCTAATCTTACCCAGCACTGCCATTTTTCCTTCTGATCTCCAGCTTTTAGGGGCATGCTAGCATTGGGGCTGACCTGGAAAGGAAATGTACAAAGGGGAAGGAGCAGACTATAAGGACCGCTTGCTTGTTGCTGCTCTGTATACACTGCCCATCATATTCCACGCCAAGGACCAACACCTTGAAATTCACTTCTTATCCTCTCTGCCCAAATTCCTTCCCTCCTCAGTACTAAACACCTGAGTCCACACACAACAGGAATGAGGTGGCAGTGCAGGAAGGCAGTGGGCTGGAGGAGGGTGGTTCTCCTACTGAGTCCAAATCCAAAGTTCATGTCCATACAGTCAAACCACAAACACAGACCCCTGCTTCACAGCAGGCACACACAGCTCCTCACCCTGTCTGTGTGTGAATATTTTGCTCTGCCAAAGCTGCCATCAATGACAAGGAAGATAATGATGATGTATGTGGCACTGGGTAGGGAAAGACAGGGAGGGCAAGCAGAGAGAACAAGAGATCAGATCGAACAGATTTTTCTTCTCCAAATGTTTATGAATAAAGTCCTCAGTGAGGCCTTTAGGTTTTAAATACTTAGATGCGGCAATGGCTATTTTTAACAGAATGATACTAATTTTGAATTGCAGTTCTAAGGGCAGCAGAATGATTCTTAGTGGCTCTACTGGCTATAGGACATTTTTATAGAGTGAACCATCACTGCAGAGACAGCAGGCAAAATTAGTATTAAATGTTTAATGTTAGAGCTAGCAGATTAGTTTTAGGTTCAACCTAGGATAAAGCCATTTTTAATTGTTGGCCTTGCAATAATATGTCAAGTCCTTTTGTATAATCTACACATGTAGTATATTCATACTTTTCTTACTGAGCATGTAGCCTAATTTTATTATATAAAATGGTCATAGGAACGTATTGGTTTGGGTCTTGCTTTTACACCAGCTTGATTTAAGATTAGTTGGTGGGGCCTGTGCTTCATGGATCTTTATGCCTTGTTGGCACCATGCAAAGCTCTACTTAAAGGCTCACTTTATCTTCCCCACCAGGAGGAAAGGGTCTTGGAGGGCAGAGAGGATGATGGGCAGTGGCGAGAGGGCTTATCAAGAGAGGTCAAGGTGAGAGAGTGCCACAAAGTCCCAGGGGCAGGAGGCCCAGAGAGCCTGAGGTAGGCTGGGTCAGCCAGTCCATCTGGAGCTGGTTCATGGCAGACACAGTGGGAGTGGTGGGCTCGGCTGGGTTAGGGGCAGGTTGTGGAAGACCCTAAAAGTCAAGCTGAGGAGCTTAGATTCTATCCTAAAGGAGACAGGAGGTCGGGCTGGGGATCTGTGTGTGAAGATCGTGTCTAGCAGTATTAAGCTGGAAGGACCAGCCCAGGAAAGATGGGAGGGGGCAGACAATTTCCAAGGCTATTGCCACAATCTGAACTAAAAGAATGAGAGTGTGAGCAAGAGGATGGTGGGAGCTGAGCAAAATGGAGGAAGGATACAAAAGACTCCGTGGAGTAGAGAACCAACCGGACTTAGGAACAGCTGCTCTGAATCTACCTGACCCTCAGCCCATTAACAATGCCACCAGGGACATCTCAGCGTCCTCACATTCAGTCTCTCCCAATCGTGGCGTGATGTGCCCTGCCACTCAACTTTCCTTTTTTGTATTGCTGAAGAGAGAATATTTGGAAAACACGCAGGAAAAAGTAGACAGAAAACAAAACGAAAAAACCTCAGTCACACTGCTCATAAAATGAATATTCTTATTTGTATATATTTGTATTTACTGTAATTTCTAGTCATTGACATTTTTTCTTGTTTAATTATGTATTTTGTTTTTCATTTACTTAAGGCATTTTCCGTATTATATGAAAAGCAACTTTCTAAACCCCGTATTTATTGACTAGATAACATTTTATCAAATGATACACATTGTAATGTACTGAACCATTCTCCTCTGGCCGGGCATATAGGTTATTTCCAGTTTTTCATTTTTATAAAAAACCACCATAATGAACATTTTGGTGTGTGAAGATAGAGTATATTTAAGATTGATTCCTTGGGACAGACAAATAGAAATGAAATTACTGAATCAAAGAGCATCAGTGTTTCTGAAGCTCTTGACACCTATTTCAACATTATTTTCTAGAAAGTTTTAACCCATTTGCCTTCTTTCTATGAAAGTATAAAAATGCCTCCCAGTTTATCACCTCTTGGCTAATACCAGAAATAATGCTTTTTAATTAATTGGATAAGATAGTATCTTAGTATTTCAATACACAGCTTTGAGTACAAGTCTGTCGACTGTCATATCATGTTCCCAACAAGCTCCGTCTTCTCTTCTGTCCGTTGCTTATTAAGGGCCCTGCCTCAGTCTCCTGGGGTCTCGATTTCTCCACTATTCCTCACGATTTGTTATGAGCTACAAATGGATATCTGAGTTTGAATCATTTGTCTTATTTTTTGAAAGTACTTGTTCATTGTATGTCTTTTAATATTTTGAGTGCTTCTTGACATTAAAATACTTACATTTTTAAGCTCTTAAATCTATTGATCAGTTACTTTCTTTAGGATTTCTTCTCTCTTCTAAACATAGAAAGCCCTTCCTCTCAAGAGATTGATACATATTTCACTTTGGTGTATTTTTAAGGCACATATTGCCCCAACCTTGCCTTCTGACTGGAACCAGACGGCTTCTCCTCACTTTTTAGAGCACTAAGTGGAAGGAGGCGGGACACAGTCGATGAAGACAAACTCACATTTTGGGCTACACTAACTTTTAAGGCCCCAGCCTCTGGGGTGAGGGCTTCTGGACAGAAACACAAGGGGTGAATGGATGCTAAAAGAGGAGCTCCTGGGAAGTCAGCATCCCCTTCTCCCCAAACCTTGGCAGTAGCACCAAACTTTACCCTGCCCTTGGAATAACACACGCAATACACTCTTCATCCCAGATACCAATTTCTTGTTCTGTTCCATAATCCAGTTTACTGTCATTTTCTTAAAAGGACCCTTTGTTTAACCTAATAACATAGTTTCTGAAAATCTCTCTCCCTCCTTCCCATACCACTTACCCATATCGATGACGACCCACATCACGGATGAGCCTCTCGGAGAGGTAAGCACCGATACGGTCTAGCTTTTCTGGAGCTGAGAGAGCATAGAAGGTCAGCTTCTCCATGTTGGTCTTCACCAGGCCATCCTACAAGAGAAGACAGCTCACGCTCACTGTGGCCATAGCAGGGCTAGGCAAGTTCAAGTCTAGAGGTAAATAATACTCCCATCTAATCAGCATTTACAGAGTGCCCATTATGCACGTGCCAGACAACACATAGGTTTCAGGGACACAGAGGTGATTAAAACAGTTCCTGCCCTCAAGGAACTCCCAATCTAGCCTAAAATGTGCTCGCAATAATAGCAAATGCTATAAATGTATATATGTGTGTGCATGTCTGTGGATATATATGTGCATACACATACATGAGTGTGTACGTGTGTGAGTGTGCATGAATGGATAACAGGGCTTCATTAAAAGTGACTCAGAATCGGCTCGGCGCCTGTGGCTCAAGTGGCTAAGGCGCCAGCCACATACACCTAAGGTGGTGGGTTCGAATCCAGCCCGGGCCCGCCAAGCAACAATGAT